ATGCCAGGGACGTGATCAGTGCTTCCTGAGCCCAGGGCAAAGCTAGATTTCTGAGCCCCCCTAGAATGTGAGCCCCCGTTCCTGAGAGTAGGAACTCAGATGTGTTCCAGATGAATGACTGGAGGTGCTGAAAGAAATGTGTTCACAGGGCCAAAGCCTCTGTCTCCTCCCACAGGAGGATGCAGCCTTGGCCCCAACCTCTGCTTTTTCACATCCTTGTTCCCATCTGTCTGGTGCTTCTCAGGGGAAGGCCATGCTCGTATGCATCTTCTCAGGCCAAGGCCTGTCCCCTCGAGCTACTCGGTGGGAGATGGTAGGGTGAACAGATGAATAATTCAGGCGCTGTGGGTGACTGGGGGGCGCCATTAGAGCCAGCCTGGTTGGGACAGAGACAAACAGATGAGCTTTTGGGTGAGCAGCAGGGAGAAACCAAAGATGTCCAAACAGCCTGAAGTTTTTATTTCTAGAAAAGGAAAGTGAATCTGTTTGAAGCTATATAATAAGTTAATAATACTTTTTAAAAAACATCTAACTAATGTTCTTTCCTGTCTGCACTACACCCCAAAACAAGCCAAAACAGGTCTAAACAAAACAGCTTTCTACAGAGCCCGTAAGGGTGAAGTATGTGATACCATAAGGGGCTCTCAGGACAGTGGGACCTTTGCCATCTCTTCCCAGCGGGCAGTCTTGGTTCTCCCCCAACCATTCCAAGGCACATGGGCAGAACTTGACTTTCCTGGCCTCGAATACAGACGCCTCTCCAACTGCTGTGATCCCAAAGAGCTGTGTGCATCTGGCTCGGCTTCCCTGCCTTTCAAATGGCTCATCAGAAAGCCTTACTTCCAGCCAGCTGCCCCAGACAGCACGAAGGTTCTCAGCCCTACCTGCCTCCCCTGCCTCCCCACAGCTAAGCTCAGACAGATGAAACTTCTCAGTTCACGGGGCAGAGACCTTGTCTTTGTGTCTCATAAAATGTCATGTACACTTGCGGCGCTTTGTAAATAATAAATGGTCATAAGAAAGAAACTGCCTCTTTGGGGGTCAGAGGTGTGTGTTTGCAGCAAAACAGGCCCGACTTCATCTCAACCAGGCCTGCCTTGGTCTGGCACGGCTGTCACCGAACCCTGCAGAGGCTCCGCACAGAGACTTCTAAAGGTCCATGGGACCTGAAAACTTAAGAGTTCCAAAGAGAACAAAAGGCACAATGTCAGGACTTCTTGGCCCAGGGAGCCCAGGGAGCACCCTGCTGACATACTATGTACTTGAAAAACCCATGCACCGTGGGTATGCAAGATGTCATTATTTTTACCCGAGATCATATTGCTCTGCTTAACCTGGCTTTCCAAATAACAGCACGGGCATTTTTATCCAAGTACATAATAATAACCTACTATTGAAAGAGAGATCAGGTGGTAATAACAGGTATTATTGCTCAGATGATGACTTGCCAATTAGAAGAGAGCTCTTGTTCCAAATGGGTGAACAAGTTGACCGAGATAAAGGGGGTTTCATTAGCGAAACTAGGGGAGAGGCAAGGACACAATTATCACATTGTTCCTAGCTCTGATAACCCGGTGGCACTGAGAAGAGGGAGTGTGAAACCGTGGGACATCCTGCTGATCTGGGACCTCTGTGCAAGTCTTTAAAATTATGATGCTAAACGCTCCTGCATCCTGCAGGATGCTGTCACGGTGAGAAACCCTTTGTGGTGCTGAGCTCATCTAGCAGGTCTTTATTTCCAGACCAGAAACTTGTAGTCCGTTCATAAGGAGAGCAGCTGCCATGCATTGCGGCCTTGTTGGTTATTCCTAACATCGCCATGGAGGTGACTCCTGGCGTCATTCATTTTACAGTGAGAGCCCCTGAGCTCAGGGTCTGAGGCCCAGGGGTACTGCCAGGATTCAAACTATAAGACTAGCTGGATCCAGATTCTAATTAACCACCTTCAACCTGTATTGCCGTCCACAAATAGCCCAATGGTGGCCATCATTGCCCAGTCTGAGAGACTCGAGATTGACACCTCTGGCCAAAAGGGGATACTTTTCAGCCATCTAAACCTACTGGAAAGGACAGGTGGCCCAAATAATGCCCACGCATAGCTACTTGGGGAGTCATTCAGCCTCAGCTCGGACCGTCTTGCTGGGACAGGATGCTGCAGATCTGCTTTCGGAATGGTGTTTTTCCAAATGAGGAGTAAAAATAGCCCAGGCTCTCTGAGAACACCCTCACTAGGTGGAAGAGGGGAGTGAATCTCAAGGAGGGTTGGGAATGGGGGAGGCAGTGTGGCGTGAAAATGGTACGAGAGATAATGTCCTGATGGCCGCGGGGTGATTAGATCTGCTTTCTAATTGGAACCATGTGGCGTGGCTCCTTCGTCCTGCGAACCTCTGAGACTTCACATTTTAAATCTCTTTATCTTTCAATGAGGAATGTGGAGGAAACCGAGATGAGTGGAGGCTTCCAGGTTCTTATTGTCTAACCCTGACCATCTGCCCTCGGCTCCATCCCATCCAGATTGCAAGTTCCATGTGTCATGCTAATGAGCAAACAGGGAGATGCTCTCAGCCCAAGGCCTGCTCTGGACTCAAGTTACTGCCTCATAAATGACTCGCTGATTTTTAATTAATCCTCTGATCCATCCCAGATCCCTGGCCGGAGAGTTTGCCCTTTCCTTCCCTCTTCCCAGACAGCAATGGTAATAGATGCCAACGGTGGCCTCAGTGCCTGTTGACCCAGGAAGAGTGGGCAGGGCAACCAACACATGGGCCTTTGACCCGCATGTAAGTCACATACACACGTGTTTTAAAATCTCAAACAAGGAAGCTGGGAGTGAGGGAGATTGGAGCAAGGAGAGAGTGTGTATGTAAGGGCTTTAGGTGTGGTGAGGATGAAGGTGGTGGTGGCAGGGCGTGATGATGTGTGTGACAGGGTGTGACTTGCTGAGTAGGTCAATTGTCTTGTGTGCTGTGCAATGTGTGTGTATAGATGGCATGGACGTAGAGACAAATGGTGTGTGTTATAGGATATGTAACACACTAATATATGTGTATATGTTATACAAAGAGTTGTATGCACACATGTTCAAAGAGGTATGGGATGTGTGCTTAAGTGTGTCTGAAGGGTAGTACAAATGTGTGTGATCTGAGTGGTACGAGGATAGAGTGGGTGGCTGGGCATGGTAGTTGCACACGGACACGTATAATGAGGCACACTGGGACTGCAGGCGTCTCTAATGCAAAACGCTGGTTGACTGGAAGGTTTTCTTTTCCTTAAAAACTGGCAAGAGCTCTTTCCTTTCTGGCTACAGCTTCTGTTCAGGGGGTCCCCGGTGCCCTGGGTAAAAGATGGAAAAGCTTGTTCTCAACAAGCAAAATGAAGTCTAAGGCTGTTTGGGGGGCTGTTTTAAATGTGCTGTCAGTGCAATGGCTTCCGTTTCCTGGAGTTGGGTGAGAAGGAATATTTCATTTTGCTCAGGTCAGGCTCTGACGCTGCCCAGGCAGGAATGGAACAAGAGCGCCCCCCTGTTTGGAGCCATGTCTTCTCCCACTGGGCTCTTGTTTGCTCGGCCCTGGGTGTGATGAAAGGCTCTACTCTTCAGGGAATAGTAGAAGGGCTTTTGACCCGTGGGCTTTGGGAGGAATCTTGCAGAAGCAGCTGAGTCACCCTGATGTGGAGGGTGCCACCTAGGGGGAGGATGGGGCTGGAGGAGAGGCAGGAGAACTCTGAGCTCAGGGATTTGCCTGGATGGTTCACACAGCTTCCTGACCTGCCCCTGAAAGGGATCAGCCCAGACTCTCCAGAAGCTTCCAAAGCATTCTTCCCCAGAGGAGGGATTTTCTTCCACATCAGCTCACAACCATGGGTAGGAAGGCAGATGGTGCTCAAACATGCAGGCAAAATGCTCATACACGTAAAATAAACCTAAAACCATTGTAATACACACACACACACACATATAATTTCCGAATAAAAATTTGATGGACTGTGGTCACAAAGGACTTCCTTCCAGGACGGGAGAAGGCATTAACATTGCATGTGTCTAGTAGCTTCTCCTCTGACGTGCCAGGCCTGTTCGTGCCCTTCCTCTTCTATCCCTTCCTAGACCTCCAGCATTGCTCTTCTTCCCTCCTTTAGAGAAGAAAACGTCCGCAATCTCTCATTGTTTCATCGACTTCCTGCCTCCACCTGTGCCCGAATTCGGCTTCCTCCTGGCCTCAGACGTGCCCCAGGCCAGGCTCTGCATTCAGCCTCCCTGTGCCTACTCAGGGACACCTCTAGTTTCTGTCAGCATGTGCCTCTTTCCCTGAGATGGTCCCGCCATTCCTGAGCACACTGAAGAATCACTCACGTTAAACAAGCAAACCCTCTGTTTACTGCCCCCCTAGCTCCTCTTCTCCAAGAATTGCCTATATTTGCTTACCACATTTCCTTCTGTTTGCTCTTAAACCTGAACAGGCAGGTTCTCACCCCACCCCACCCCCACCTGCTGAAATAATTCTAGTCAGCTTGCTGTTGGTTTCCACAATACTCAATACAATTGTTGATTCTCATTCCTCACCCTGTTCAGCTTCTCAGAGGCCTGTGACCCCCATTCATCTGACTGCTGGAGCTGTGTTCTGGTTACATCCTGCCCCATGGCCACATGGCTGCGGTTTTGTTTTGAGGATCACAACTTGGTCAAGGGTTCCAGCCTTTGGCTCCTTTTCTGTCTAAAGGCATACCTCTCCCTTGATGTGTGTGTGTATGAGAGACAGCTTTTATGTTACATAGGAACCATATATGTATGTATCATATATAAAATCAATTCTTTTCTTCAATCCCTGTCCCTATACTTGTGCCATTTAATAACGTATGTATTCTTCCATTTCTTCCATTCTTTGTTCCGGGTCAGAACTTGAAATTCCTCCTCGATGAGCCCCCACCACCTCTGTTTCTACTTTGTGATTGACCCATCTCTTCACACACCATCCAGAGCCACACTGCCGCTGCTGACTAGGCCACTATCCCTCCCCTGCACAGCTGCTCCCACCATCCTCCCCTGCACTCCTGCTCCCATCATCCTCCCCTGCACAGCTGCTCCCACCATCCTCCCCTGCACAGCTGCTCCCACCATCCTCCCCTGCACAGCTGCCTTCACCATCCTCCCCTGCACTGCTGCTCCCATCATCCTCCCCTGCACTACTGCTCCCACCATCCTCCCTTGCACTGCTGCTCCCATCATCCTCCCCTGCACAGCTGCTCCCATCCTCCCCTGCACAGCTGCTCCCATCCTCCCCTGCACAGCTGCTCCCATCCTCCCCTGCACAGCTGCTCCCATCCTCCTCTGCACTGCTGCTCCCATCATCCTCCCCTGCACAGCTGCCTTCACCATCCTCCCCTGCACAGCTGCCTTCACCATCCTCCCCTGCACAGCTGCCTTCACCATCCTCCTCTGCACTGCTGCTCCCACCATCCTCCCCTGCCCTGCTGCTCCCATCATCCTCCCCTGCACCACTGTTCCCATCATCTTCCCCTGCACTGCTGGTCCCACCATCCTCCTCTGCACTGCTGCTCCCATCATCCTCCCCTGCACTGCTGCTCCCATCATCCTCCCCTGCACAGCTGCTCCCACCATCCTCCCCTGCACTGCTGCTCCCATCATCCTCCCCTGCACTCCTGCTCCCATCATCCTCCCCTGCACAGCTGCTCCCACCATCCTCCCCTGCACTGCTGCTCCCACCATCCTCCCCTGCACTGCTGCTCCCACCATCCTCCCCTGCACCACTGCTCCCATCATCCTCCCCTGCACTGCTGCTCCCACCATCCTCCCCTGCACTGCTGCTCCCATCATCCTCCCCTGCACCACTGCTCCCATCATCCCCTTCACTGCTTCTGACACTGCTAACTGGTCTGCTGGATCCTGCCGTTGACTCTAGTTTTATTTGCAGCGGTAGCCAGGGTGCCCTACTAAAACGCAGGTCAGAGCATGTCACTCCCCTACCTTAGAACAACTGTAGAGCCTTTTCAATGCCCTGTTAGCTCTTACTCCATTCCTTCCTTCCTCCCATCTTACTCTTATCCCCAGGCTGCCTTCTCACTCTTTCTCCCACCTACTCCATGGCTGTCCTAGAGCACACCCAGGCTTTCCCGACTCCCCGATCTTCTCTCAAGACAGGGACCATCCTGTTTCAGATTGTTTGCCCCCACATCCCCTTGTTCCCACAGTACTTTCCACCCTCTGGCATCGCATGTAGTTAACCCTTTATTTGCTGTCTAGGATGTAAGCTCCATGAAGGCAGTGTCCTGCTCATGGCTGTACCCCCAAACATGACCATCAGTGCCTGGCACAGAACAGCTACTCTGAGAAAGCTACTGAATGAATGAATGGATGAATTAACGAATGAACTAGTAGTGGTGGGAAAGAACATAACACCCTACTCTTTAAAATTGTGCTAATAATTACAGGAGCGGGAAGGAAATCGGCTGTGAGTGTTTCTTTTCTCTCCCCATTAGAATCTCTAATGGGATTGTACGGTTGTGTTATTATTTCTGAAGCAGCGGCTTTCCAGTGTTTAACACTGGGCCAAACTCTGTTGCTGTGTATTTCCATCTTTTCTCCCTGATGGGTGAGGGGTTTGCTGACTGACTTCCCTCCCCACCACCATCAGGAGGCTGGTGACACCTTTAGCCCCCAGCTTCTACGCAGACCCAGCCCACGCTCTACAAAACCTTTGAGCATGTACTGTGTCCTGTGCGTGTGGCTCTCTGTCTGAATTGTCAGTACACAGTGCACCCCAAACATGTGCCTCACATTTGTGCCCCAATCCTGATTATTTCTACCTCTAGGAATTTTAGTGAACCGTTAATTCCCACTGATAAGGATGCCACCTCCCTACCAAGAGATCTTTGATACAGTATGGGTCAAAGTCACAGGACCCAGACCTTCTATCTTGGCATTTCCAGAAGGATTAACTGAGAGAGCAAATGACTCCAGCTCCTGGGTGGCTGGAGTAACGGTTCAGCAGTTAAGAACGTGTAATGCTCTCGCAGAGGTCTCAAGTTGACAGTACTCGTGTTAAGTTGCTCATAATCACCTATAACTCTGATTCCTTCTTCTGTCCTCTGTGAGTGCCAATACACAGGTACATATACCAATGCACAGCTGTGTACATGCATGTGCATACACACACACACACACACACACTCGAAGAGATCCTAGGAAAACTCAGTGCTGCTTGCTTGCTAACCTTCCTTGTCCTCCTGCTGGTGATGATAGCTATCTATCCCCCTGTTTCCGGTACCATGCTTGCTGGCCTCAGAACTCAGCTCCTTCAGGCTCCCTGTGTGGGCTGATGGTCAGCAGCTCTTTAGAAATTCCCCAGCCTTTCAGAGCCAGTCCGGAACTGCTGAGGCATCCTGCCTCACGGATTAAACATACCTACCAGGTTCTCAGCCTCTCCAGCATGTAGACAGCCATTGCTGGACGGCCCATCCCATGCTGTAGAAGCCAAGCTAATAAATCTTTTAGAACACATATTTATTCAGTCTGTTCTCTAGAGCAGTGGCTCTCAGCCTTCCTAATATTGAGACCCTTTAACATAGTTCCTCACGTTGTGCTGACCCCCAACCACAAAATTATTTTCATTGCTATTTCATAACTGCAATTATTTTTTGGGGGGGAGGAGGATTTTCGAGACAGGATTTCTCCGTAACTTTTGGTTCCTGTCCTGGAACTAGCTCTTGTAGACCAGGCTGGCCTCAAACTCACAGAGATCTGCCTGCCTCTGCCTCCCAAGTGCTGGGATTAAAGGCGTGCGCCACCACCGCCCGGCTTCATAACTGCAATTTGCGACTGTTATAAATCATAATGCAATATTGGTGTTTTCTGACGATAGTCTGAGGTAACCCCTGTGAAAGAGTCATTTGACCCCCAAAGGGATGTGACCCACAGGTTGAGAAGCACAGCTCTAGAGACTCTAGAGATCCGTGTACCTTCAAGTTTCTCCTCACAGGCTTCCCAGCCTCGATTCCCTTTGGACCAACTCTTTAGAAAAATCAGCTGAGACAGCAGTTTTTCTACGTTTTCAATCATATGCTGATAATTAGCTTACTATCAGGCTGTGGATCTCTTTAGGGCAGAGACAGAGTTGCCTCAGGTTCACCATGCCAGAAAGGACCTGCCCTCAGTGCTGGCTCCCCAATACACTTGCCTCGAGGGCATCCTTAGGGTAAGCTGGGGTCTGGAAGCCCTTCTCTGGGAGTGAGGCCTTCTAAAAGAAGACCCACAGTGAGTTCCTTCCTCCTCCAGCCATTGCCAAAGATGAAGTTTTTCCTTTGGCTCCTGCATACAGCTTCACTTCCCTGGTGAACGGTTCTGCCAGCTGCTCTTAGTCCTAATATTTTGGCAGCCAAACAGCACACTGCTCTGCAGACGATGGGGGAAAGTGCTCACGATCTGAGAGCAACAGCTTCCCTGCTCGCCAGAGCTGCACTCAGGATCCAGGGTTGATACTGGGACGTCTCCTGGTATCACCTCTGCCCTGTGAGAAGATACTGTCTGGAGAGTCGCACCCACAGCCCCACTTGCAAACCACAAACTCAAGTTTATGAAGGACAGCATGGACATCCCTGTCCCCCCAGGACCTGCTACTCAACCCTGGTACAGCATGACGTGTCACCTTGGACATGCTCTCTAGGAAATGACACCATTCAGGTATCAGGATAGTGTTTCTCAGCCTCTCTTGTGTCTTTGAAACAAGGTGAATATCTAGAGTTATGGGTTGTGTTCTTCCAATACTGGAGACAGACATTATTTCAGAATATGTATTAGCTGGGGAGCAGGAGGCGACTGACTGGCAGTCAGCATATTGGCTCCTAGCATGCAGCAAGAATGCAGCAGTCTCGCGTAGTGTAATATATCGCAGATCCATGGGTTCCCATTTATGATTCTAGAATGCATTATTTGCAACAACTTCAAGTATATTAGAACATTTTGCAGAATAAAACAATTTGTATTTTTGTTTTATTTTCGTGTGTGTGTGTGTGTGTGTGTGTGTGTGTGTGTGTGTGTGTGATGGGGGGAAGAGAGAGAGCAGTTTTGGAACCTCAGCACTGTTGACATTCTGAATGGTTAGATCTTTGCTATAGGGCTGGTCCATGTTTACCTGTGACTCCAGCAGCTGATTATCAGAAGCAAGTTGTGTCAATCACTCAAACATTAATACCGCCTCCTGGAGAGCAAGAATGCCTCTCCCAGTTGGGAGCCACATCTCTAGACACAGTGCGCATGAGACCCTCTGTTCTTATACTAGGAACCACAGGACTATTATACTCTAGAACTGTCAGCATGAAACTGTGGCCTTTGGGGTATTTGTTGTGACAGTTCCACTATGTACCCCAGAGTGCTGAGTTCTCCTGCCTCAACTTCTCAAGTGGTGGGGTGCACCTCCACACTTGTCTGTGAACAAGTGCTGGGATTCCCCTCCACACCTGGGTGTGAACAGTGCTGACGTGCACCTCCACACCTGGGTGTGAACAGTGCTGACGTGCACCTCCACACCTGGGTGTGAACAGTGCTGACGTGCACCTCCACATCTGGGTGTGAACAGTGCTGACGTGCACCTCCACACCTGGGTGTGAACAAGTGCTGACGTGCACCTTCACACCTGGGTGTGAACAGTGCTGGTGTGCACCTCCACACCTGGGTGTGAACAGTGCTGACGTGCACCTCCACACCTGGGTGTGAACAAGTGCTGACGTGCACCTTCACACCTGGGTGTGAACAGTGCTGGTGTGTACCTCCACACCTGGGTGTGAACAGTGCTGGTGTGCACCTCCACACCTGGGTGTGAACACGTGCTGGTGTGCACCTCCACACCTGGGTGTGAACAAGTGCTGGTGTGCACCTCCACACCTGGGTGTGAACACGTGCTGATGTGCACCTCCACACCTGGGTGTGAACAAGTGCTGGTGTGCACCTCCACACCCGGGTGTGAACACGTGCTGGTGTGCACCTCCACACCTATCTGTGAACAAATGCTGGGGTGCACCTCCACACCTATCTGTGAACAAATGCTGGGGTGCACCTCCACACCTATCTGTGAACAAATGCTGGGGTGCACCTCCACACCTATCTGTGAACAAATGCTGGGTGCACCTCCACACCTATCTGTGAACAAATGCTGGGGTGCACCTCCACACCTATCTGTGAACAAATGCTGGGGTGCACCTCCACACCTATCTGTGAACAAATGCTGGGTGCACCTCCACACCTATCTGTGAACAAATGCTGGGGTGCACCTCCACACCTATCTGTGAACAAATGCTGGGGTGCACCTCCACACCTATCTGTGAACAAATGCTGGGCTGTACCTCCATGCCTGTCTGTGAACAAGTGCTGGGATTCCCCTCCACACCTGGGTGTGAACACGTGCTGGCGTGCACCTCCACACCTGGGTGTGAACACGTGCTGGCGTGCACTTCCCCACCTGGGTGTGAACAGTGCTGGGATTTCCCTCCACACCTGGCTGTGAACAAGTGCTCGGGTGTACCTCCACACCTGGCTGTGAATAAAGTTTTCTTTTAATCATATTGATTTCAGGCACTGGGGAGATGGTCCAGCAGTTAAACCACAGTCTGCTCTAGGAGAGCAGCCACATGGCGGCTCACAACTGTCTGTAATTCCTGTTCCAGGAAATCCAATGCCCTCTTCTGGCCTCCAAAAGCACCACACACGTACATGGCAACACAGACATGCATGCAGGCAAAATACCCATCATGCAAAATAAATAAATCTTTAAAATAATAATTAGACATTAAAATGTTATATCCATTAGCTATTATTGTGCTTATTATCCCTTAATTTCAGCAAACATATTAGTTGACCAAGGGAAAATTACTTTATTGAAAATATAAAGAAGGCATGGTGGCACACACCTTTAATCCCTGCACTCAGGAGGCAGAGGCAAGTGGATCTCTGTGAGTTCAAGGCCAGCCTGGTCTATAGATTGAGTCCAAGATGGCTAGGGCTATGTAGGGAGACCCTGTCTCAAAAAAAAGAAAAAGAAAAAGAAAAAAAGGACAGCAATAACAAAAAAGAAAGTGTAAAAAAAAAGTATACTCAAATAGTCTATATTCAACTCATTCTATAACTTATGATAAAATATGTTAAAACCTCAGACATGGTAGAATCAAATTTTTAAAATTCAAATAATTTTACAACAGAAAACAGATATGATTACTATTATTATTATTATTTCGGCAGAGTCTCATTCTGATTGGAACTTGCTATGTAATTGAGGCTGGCCTTGAGCTCACAGAAATCCACATTGACTCTGCCTTGTAAGTGCTAAGATTAAAGCAGTTTGGAGAGAAAAAACTGCGCCCATGTTCCCAAAATATTGTTTGTAAATGTTCTTTTACATTTAAAGGGGGAAATGATATAAGTATGAGTAATTTGCATTGGTGTGGATTTTACAGTCAATTTTGTTATATGTATATGTATTTCTGATCTTGATTAAGGTATTGTGATTGTGTAGTTCATTTAAAAATGTAATGTATAATTAAAAAATATAGGTTAATGGTTAATCATCAATAATAGTCAAGCTTGTAGTCATGTTAGTTAGATTTTCTAGATATATAGAGATACATTTCAGTTAGATAGACATTCTTCATATCTTTCAAAGACTGCAGAATATGGCATTTAATGTTTTAATAACTTAGGACTTTTCATGACAATGAGACATATCTGCTCCTGGTGGCACCAATCTACTTCGAGAGGAAGATGGGCATCGAAGAGGATCCTTATGGAGTTGGATAGCCATTTGGGCAAGAAACTGCTCTTGCCTGGACTGGACACAGAGAACCCGCAGAGAGAGGACTACTGAACTTGCCTAAGGTGAGATGATCTTTCGGGGTTCCTGATTCATTTTGAAAGAGTCTGCGAGACATTCTGCAGGACACAGCAGATAGTGACTGAACTGTCTTTGGAATTTCCTGCTTCATGGAAATGTCTGCTGGATACTATGGGCCTGAAGGCTGAAGATGGATGCCCCAACCATACAAAAGAACTTTGGGTGACTGTCCAGGCAGCAAGATGTCTCTGTCATTTCTAGAGTTTTCTTATTTCTTGTTTACTTAGGTAATATTATATCCTTCTGGAGTCTTTGATGGAGTTGAAGAATGAATAGATAGTTATAGTTTTCCTTAGTTATGATAAAAGATAAAATAGATATAAATATTGTAACTGTAATTCTTGCTTGATAACTGTTTTGCTATATGTAATTTTACTATGTTAAAGTTAAAGCCTTTCTTTTTTGTTTAAACAGAAAAAGGGGAAATGATGTGGGAGTGATTTCTTATTAATAAAGAAACTGCCTAGACCCATTTGTTAGGCCAACCCTTAGGTAGGCGGAGTAAACAGAACGGAATGCTGGGAGAAAGAAGCTGAGTCAGGGAGTCGCCATGATTCTCCCACTCCAGACAGACGCAGGTTAAGATCATTCCTGGTAAGCCAGCTCTTGGGCTACACAGATTAATAGAAATGGGTTAGATCAATATGTAAAAGCTAGCCAATAAAAAACTGAAACTAATGGGTCAGGCAGTGTTTAAAAGAATACAGTTTCCGTGTAATTATTTCGGGTAAAGCTAGCTGGGTGGCAGGACACAGCCCGCTGCTCCGTATTTCAACATACCACCTCACCCTAATAAACAATGTGAATATCTTGATTTATATGCCAATATAATAAGCGATTTTGCTAAAATAAAATCATGGAAAATAAAATTCATGGGGGCTAAAAACAATGGCTCAGTGAGTAAAGGCATCCGCTGCACAAGCACAAGGACCTGGGTTCAAATCCACAGCATCATGGCCACACATTTGCTCTGAGCCCAACATCATGACCTCACAAGAACCTAACTTAGCCGCCTTTGGTATTTGGTTAAATTCCTGTCACGTAAAAACAACATTTTCATACGCATTTCGCATTTTGTTTTTGTTCTGTGCAAATGTGTGTGTTCACGTGTTGGGTATGTATGTGTGCATGTGAGTGCAGGTACATGCACGTGTGTGCACGTAGAAGCCAGAATGCCATTCTTCCACTGCACCTTGCTTTTGAGACTGGGCCTCTTACTGATATGGAGCCTGCCATAAAGATAAGCTGTCCAGTGAGCCCCAGGGAGCCTCCTGTCTCTCCCTCCCCAGTGCTGGGGTCACAAGTCCACACCACACCCTGCTTTTCAAAAGTGAGTTCTGGGAACTGGGTTCAGGTCCTCATGCTTACAAGGCCGTACTTTCTCACCTGCGCCATCTCCCCAGACCTGCATTTTGTTGTTCTGCTGTGCCTGCCTGTGTGGGAAGTTATGGTGTATTTTATTGAGGTTCACTTGCCTGGTTTATCGTGCATGGTCTTAGGCCTCCACTTGTCCTGACGCCCACCAGAGTTCCAGGCCTGCCTCGTCCTCTTGCCCTGAGGCCTAAGCCCAGGACCTGAGATGTGACCACAGGGGATCTAGGTCTGAGGATGGGTGGGGATGGGGTATGGCTTGCTGAGCCAGGGCAAAATGAGCAAACATACACTGCGGCCCTCCCTCATCTGCCTTAGGTTCCAGCTTCCTAGCAGTCCTCCCTTGTCGGTGTTTAGAATCCAGTCCCAAGCACGACCATCTTCTGGCCTTCTGCTTAGCTGTCTGCAAGAATAGCGGAACACCGCCCACTTTCCAGGCACTGGGCTAGGCTGAGGGGGATGTGTGACAGTTACCGCTTTATTGTTTCATTGGGTGTGCTGGCACACACCTGTGATCCCAGCCCTTTGCTGGGAGCATGGTTTCTGGCATTACAGAGAGCACATAACCCTTGCATGTAACATCAGCACTTGGGAGGCTGGCAGAAGGGTCACCGCAAATTCAAAGTCAGCCCAGCCCATACAAAGAATTCAAGACTGGTCTGGGCTATGGAACAAGACCTTCTCTCGAAAACAAAACAGCTCATTCCCAGAAGGGCGGTCCTTATCAATTGCCACTCTGTCCCTTCCTGTCCTCTGCTCAGAACAGATCCTGTGTAATTCATTGTGTTTATTAAGTTTCATATTCACGTTTTCAGAATCTTGCTTTCTGCTATCGTTGTTTTAAGCAACGATTAATGCAAGCTAAACCAACATGGACTTGTTAAGCTCCTATTACCTGACCGGCATGGATCTGTCCTCATATGACTCAATGGTCAGAAAAACATGGTGTGTCCCTAAAGGAACTCACACCTAGGTGGAAGCAGGCAGGCTGTTTAATGCTGGGCTAAGGCAGGAACAAAGGATTTGCATGAAGCTGAGTGGCAGCAGAGGAAGGGAGAAATAAAGGGTCTGGCAAGGGAGGATTGCAGATGCTGCCTCAGCTGAGACTTAGGATGTGTAGACTCCCCGCTCCTGAAGCCGGTGAGGGACGGGCAAAGGACGCCATCTCGGTGCCCTCTGAGCTCTCTCCTTTTGTTGTAGCCTAGCAGTGTGACAGAAGAAATGACACCCTGACTCCAAAGATCAACTGTGTCCAGGATTTTCTGGCCCTCGTGCTACAGCTGGCCCTGCAAGCTTTCACATGTGCAGACGCAGCTGTCATCCCTGCAAGCAGGGGGGGTGAGAGATGCCGCTGAGGGCGCCCAGGCTGTCTACCTTCCAAATGTAGTTGTGGAGCTCTCTGAGGACAGAGATGTGTGTGAGGATCCTGCTGCTAGAGATGTCAAAAAAAAAAAAAAAATTGGAAGACACTGCTATACACTGAAGAAACTCAAGGCGCATTATAAAATGCATGAGGAGCTTGGAAAGTTGGTGAGCAAGGCGCTAAGTGAACACATGGAGAGGCTTCCTTCCCAGGACTAGAGGATAAGGGAAGGGACTGCAGTGGGAGGGTTAGTCTGGGTGCTTGGGGAAGGCTTTAGGAAGGAGGCACAAGGTGGGTATCACACCAGGAGGAATGGGTTGGAGAAACACATGTGAACAGAGAGCTGATGTATGCATGTGGGACCAGTGGGTCATGCATACACCAAGGGTCACGCTGCAGAAAGGCCATGGGGAGAGAGAGGGGTTGCAGAAGTGAGAACTGGAGGTGTGAAGAGGTGGAACTGAGAACCGGAGGAACCTGCTCCTTAGCAAGGTGGAAGCAGATGCCAGTTAAGATCCACTCCAAAACGTGATGAAACAGAAAATACCTATAATCCTAACACTCAGATAGCAAAGGCAGGAAGACCAAGGAGGTCAAAGACTTCTTGGCTTCAAGAAGTGATTAACCGATTAATTCGTTACAAAAAATAATAGATCCAGTCCAACCCTGTGCCCTTCCTTACCCTGTCTCAAGAAGTGATTAACCAATTAATTAATTACAAAAATAAAAGATACACTCCAACCCTGAGCCCTCCTTATAGACAGATCCACTTCTGGGTGCTCATCTTCCCTGGCGTGGCCCAATCCCCAACCCTTGGCTTAGACTAACCTGGGGGTTAATACATTCCTCCTGATTTAGGGAGAGTCTGTAATTAGTCCATACAGCACTGGGTGAGAGGCTAGCAGGTTCTGGGGTGGGAGGCACAGGGAAGGAATGCATTGTGAGTGTTGATGTGTCTGATGTGAGATCTGGAACCAGCATCGTTTTGCTGCTGGCCTGAGGGTGAAGCCAGTACAGAGAGGCTGAGGCAAGATCCCAGAGCCAAGGCCCAGTATTGGAGCCTCTCCTCCCTGGGGCTCTTTCTTTCTTTCCTTCCTTCCTTCCTTCCTTCCTTCATTCCTTCTTTCCTTCCTTCCTTCCTTCTTTCCTTCCTTCCTTCCTTCCTTTCTTCCTTCCTTCCTTTCTTTTTCATTCTTTCTTTTTCTTCCTTCCTTTCTTTTTTTCTTTTCTTCCTTCCTTCCTTCCTTCCTTCCTTCCTTCCTCATTTCTCTCTTCCTCCCTTCTTTCTTTCTTTTTCCTTTTAAATTAGGGTCTCACTGTTTTGACTTTGTAGGCCTTGAATTCTTTATGTAGACAAGGTTGGCCTCAAACTCAGAGATCCACCTGCCTCCAGTTCCCCAGGTCTGGCCTCTCAGGATTTCTTATTATGTGAAATTATAATATTCCCTCTTGATACTTAGATCCCTGGGGTGGGGTTTTTCTGCAGTTTCTAATTAAGAGCATCATCATATCTATGTATTTATTTATACTCTCCCACATCAATAACAATGGAAAAGTTATAAATTCTAGACAGAGAAATCCATGAAGGAAGCTGATATGTGCTAACAGCTGCAGACATTTCAATATGATTATCTTAGTTAGGGTTTCTATTGCTGTGAAGAGACACCATGACCACAGCAATTCTTATAAAGGAAAACCCCCACATACAGTTCAGAGGTCCAGTCCATTATCACCATGGTGTAACAAACACGGTGGTGTGCAGGCAGACATGGTGCTGGCTACATCTTGATCAGAAGGCAACAGGAAGTAGACTGTCTCACTGAGCATGCCTTGAGTGTATATGAACCCTTAAAGCCTGCCTCCACAGTGACACACTTCCTCCAACAAGACCACACCTACTCCAACAAAGCCACACCTCCTAACAGTGCCACTCCCTTCAGGGGTCATTTTCTTTCAAACCGCTGCATTGTTTAATGCATGGGTTGCTGGCGAGAGTTTGGAAGGTGGTCTCTGGCAGGGATGCTTTCCCTATACTGGGTTGGCAGGCAACCCTGAAGCCCTTGCCCAACACTGGCACTTGCTCTTGGCTGTCCCAGCCTCCAAACCTATGAGAAATAAATTTTCTCTTTGCTTTGTAAATTGTCCAGTCTGTGGTATTATAATAGCAGAAAGAGGACTAGGCCAGTTGGCTATGGAGTGTCAGGACCTCCTTCTCAGGACCTGGACACCTCCGGCTGTTCTACAAATATTGACGAGGTCCCAGGATTGTGTGGGAATAAGATACAATGATACAGATGGCCACCAAAGTGAGAAAGACCCCCAGCGAGGCCAACTCAATAGCCAGTGAATGTCAAGGTGAACCGGGAAGTATTAAGTAGGGAGAGTGGCCACTGAGTGGTTGGTTGGTTGGTTGGTTTGTTCTTGAAATAGGTTCTCATTACATAGCCCAGGATGACCTCAAACTGGTGACAGTTCTGTTGTTTCAACCTCCCGAGTGCTGGTATGATAAGTTTGTGACCCCAAACTTGGTGCAAAGAGCACTTCCCCCACTAAAAGGCAGATAAGAAAGACTGCTGGCTGCGCAGACCGTTCAAGCTGGTGACTCAGTTGGCACTGGAAGCCGTGTTCTCTCTGCTGACTCCCTGCAACTTGCTGAACACCAAAAAACCTTGAGTCTCAGCTCCTCCAGGGTCTCTGTGTGGCTCAACCATGAAGGTCATTTCTCAAGGACATTTTCCCAGCTTGTGTCTGAGGAAGGGCTGACATCAGTCCCATATCCTGTGGCCTTCTGTCCCCCTAGCTGTCCTGATTGTAAACTTCAGTAAGCGTGCACTAGAACATTTTCACTCCTGCTAAGAGCCACAGCCAGCCTCCGCCGGATCAGCCTTCATCCGAAACAAATCTCTTCTTGGATAGGACTTGAACCAGGATTGATTCTCCATTTTTAGCCCTAAACCATGACCTCTTGCAATGGATTCTAGAGATCTCTTGCAATTGTCGTTATCCCGGCACTCTGAAGTTCCATGATTCCATTCATCAACAGATCTGCCCCTTATTCCGATGCTCTACTTCAGAGACACAGAATCCAATGACCTTCAGGAATCCCAGCATCCCCCTCCCCTACTACACTCCCACCTTGGAAGGACAGGATGGTTAGGTTAACACTAAACCACTTTGAAAAGTCTTTAGAAGTACCATGTGCCCAGAAGTGCTCAACTACAGAAATTCTCACAAGATGACTACACTACCATCCAAGGTACAGAGTGGAGCATCCTCAGCCCCCCTCAGAGGTCTCCTCCTTCTCCATCACCAACCCCCTCAAACAGAACTTCAAACACCACGCAAGCTCATAACCAGGGGGAAACTCAAACCTATCTGTCTGCTGAAAAACTCTGCCAGAGGGCAAGGAGGAACACTGGAATCTGCTGCAGCGATGGCTAGGACCAGAGAGTGGCAGAGAGGGGACAAAAGGGACAGGGGTAGGAGCAGGGTCCAGAGCCCAACTAGTCCATTGTCTTAGTTGTGCTTTTCTCTAGCCATGCGGATTGATTGGATGACCTCAAAGCCTCCCACACCAGAGCAGAAAGTCTTTTATCCAAACTGATCATCCGGAAAGCAGGCCTCCCACTGATGCTTAATTCACTCAAGGAAAGATTAGAAG